CAAGTTAGGAACACTATAGAACAGAGAGCTTCCTTATAAGGAAATCAATCTAGAGATTGTTTCTCATTCCCTGAAGAGTTAAGTTGAAAGGTACCAGGGATGGCAAATGATGCATATATATTTTTTAAAGTATAAAAACATCTCAGTAAGAAAAAGTTCCTCATTACCTCTGTTAATAGTGCAAAGTGCCATTTTAAATTCAAAAAGTAAAGATTTACTTGCGTGTATACTTGTTTTAGAATAAAATATAAATATGAAACAGTACCCATATGAGGAATAAACATACAATAAAAACATATCTTTTAAAAACTGGGATATACATATCCTAATAGAATGATGTGAACAATGAGTTATTTGAATGTCCAATCAAACTAAAATAGAAAATTTTAAAATAATAGGTATTTCTCTGAACAAATTATAATAAGACTCCATCCAGACTACTCTTCCAGTGTATTTCTTGCATAAAATGGTCATCCCATATATCCTACAATTTATCTGAAAACTGGTAAGAACATTTGATGAAGCTTTAAAAATGGTTTTCTCTACTAAATTTGAACAAATAAAACTATACAAAGAAGTAATAGAGAGACAAATAATTTACATGGCTATTGCTTTTGTGGAAATTGGTAGAACATGAACAGTACACTACAGTATCAGAATATCTGAGAAAGATATGATAGCCACAGATTTAACCTTAAATTCTCTTCTGAGGTAAAATTCTCTTGGATTTAATTATAGAAGTTTTCAATCCCTGGTATTTCCTCTCCCAAATCAAAAATTTTTGGTTTTGTTTTGTTTTTTGTTTTGCTGGTTGAAATATATATTTTTTGCATGAAATATATTTGTTAACTATACATAAAAAATAATAAAAACACAGAAGGAATGAACTTCCAGTTTGAATATGTTAATGCTAACATGTTAAATGGCTTTTCAAGAAGTAGACTTAACTATAACATCGTTTTGCAATTCTGGATATAACATTTTGAGAGGAACTGTCGGCAAAACAAAAACCAAGGACAAGAAAATGAATTGGTAAGCTCAATCTACATTTCCGAAAACACCTTGTTTTTCTTTAAGCTTTTCAATGTAGTGGCATAGCTTCAGGGATGGCCCTTGCTTCAAACCCATATACTTAATGATTATGTCATTATTGAGCAGCAGCAGGGCTTTCCCATCAATTTCCTGTGTCCTCAGGAGCCAGGTGAGGGGGCCTGATATCTGAGGATCTGTATGGTTCAGAAACTGGATCACATCTTCCACAGACCAGTTAAAAGGGTTTTCAGGGAAGGTTTGTTTCACAGTATCAGTTTTAGATTCAATTGGAGAACTTGTAGCAAAATCAGTTGAGTATTGGAAAGATGTTCTAGGATGCTTACTGTCCGGGCACCCGGAACAGCTGCTCAAGTCCAAATTACGTTTCAGGCCGGAATATCTCTGGGTCAGAGTTGCTGAATGTGATACTGTGGAAATTTCTGCAGGCGACATGCTGTTGCTGCCAGGATACCTGGGGCTGGCAGGCGTATCAGAATATCTCACACATGTACAGTGAGTACTGCCACAGCACTGGTTAGGAACTGGTGAACCACCATAGAATGGCTCCTCCTCCTGCAGGGGTTCCTGCTCGATTTCCTGTGATTCTTCATAATCCAAAAATGCCATGTTTTCCTCACCATTATCTTCTGGTCTGCGAACTGGTGAAGTTGGGCTATAACTTTTAGAGTGAGAAAATGAAGTGAGACGATCTATTCTCTCCATTTCCTCGGCTTCAGCTCTTTCCAAATCTGAGGAGCTCTGTCTTGTGAGTTGCCTAGGAGAGTCCCAATCGTGTTTTGCTTGTGAGCACTGAATTTCTGACACCTTTCTATCAATAGCATCACACTTTTTATCTAAGAGTTGAACGGCATCATATATGACCTGACATTGGCCAATGACCACCAGAAGTTGTCTTAGGTCTTCTTTGTGGGGTATGTTCAGTTGAAACTGTTCCTGCTTATTGGCGGTGGTACACATTGTGCACCAGGAGAAATTCCACTTCCTCTGAGTTGAGCCTAAAGATCTGTAACGTTGCTGGTTATTTGTGAAATTGCTTAGTCACCTAAGAGTGACAAACCTTCTACTCCTCGTACAGCTCCTCGGAGGCCCTGGCGGCGGCGGGCGCAGCGGGGTCGCACTTAGTTTCAGTTGGTCCTGCGTGGCTTGCGCTTCCTGCTCGGGCCGGGCGCGGGCGCGGGCACCCGAGCGCCTCTCGCGCTCCGCGGCGACTCGGCCGGCGCGGCGGGGTTGTGCGCAGGAGCAGCTGCGCCACGCGCCCCGGGCGCCCGCGTTCACTGCCCGGCGGGTTGGGGCAGGATCGGCGGCTCCCTCTCCGGCCGAGTGCAGAAAGCTTTCCACTTGCGACCGAGAAACCGGCCCCCGCGACTGAGCATGCCCAGTGCGGCCGCCCTCGCGGGAGGGGCGGGGCGGCGCGCGGGTGATGCTGTTTAAGTGATGCTGTCCCCAAAGCAGAGGCTGCTGGATGGTGAGGCAGGCCAGCTTTCATCTAACCCCACAGACTGCCATGAGAGCCACTGCGTGCAGAAAGAAGCCTGAAGAAGGGTCTGGCAGAAGAGAAGGAAGCACTAATAAAAAGCAGCAGCATTCCACTGCTGCCAAGGCCAACTCTCTCTTTTTTTAAAATTCTTTTATTGGTACATTTTAGGTATACAGTACGTTTACATTTATCATTGGGTGCTTGTACCTGTACATGATGTATCTTGGTTCTTATTTTTTCCCCATTACCTGTGCACCCTTCACCCCTCCACCGTTCGCTATTTACATAGATTTCGTTTCCATTTTTTTTCTTTTCTCATAATTTTTCCTTTCCCTTCTTTCCTTTCCCCTTCCCCTCCCACAACCCCTACACCTTTGGAGCTTTTAATACTTCAAATTATCAATTATTCATTTTAATCATTTTAATCATTTTAATCCTTATTTACACTTTCAGTTTCTCACACTAGAGAAACTACTCAGTATTTACACGTGTGTGCCCTATTTATTTCAAGGCCAACTCTCCTGAGAAACATCTCCAAGGAAAGTCTGGCCGCGAACCAAGCCCTGGCTTTTAGACTTGGCTGCCCAAGCCTTGGTCCTGGAGGTGCATAGCTCCCTCTACACAGTGACCACAGAAATCCACCAGCACTGCCCCAGCCCAGATTTGTAAATCAACAGCCACAGCTGTACATAAAGTGAAAACGAATTCCAAAAGGGTTTGTATACCTCTACCAATTAATTTTAATGTATAGATTTCTCCCCCACCCAACCTACTTTACCAAAAAAATGTTTTTGCCTAGGTTTTCAAGGCACAATTAATGTAGTGTGGAAACCCCTGCTACACTTCACAGACTGAGTCGTTACACAACTGAGTCTCCCCTGAGGGCGGAACATTCCCTTTCAGGACCCATCCTGACCATTATAGATCTAAATCAAAACAGATGTGTACTCTAGTGGAGACGTGGTGAATGTTCACAGGAAGCACGGGTCACGGGAGGGCCATAGACATCTAAGCCAAGGCCTAAAGGATGCACAGAAGGTTGAGGACAGGCTTGTTTTCTCTTGCATAATAGTCCACAGGTATGCGGGCGAACCTGTCTAGATAGGTCGCCCCATGGCAGGCCGGGGCCCAGCTTTCTTCCATCTGACTTGGCTGTCTTCTAGAGTGTTTTCCTCATTGGCATGATCACCGCTAACTCACCAGCACCATTGTCACTTTCCAGGAAAAACTGATGTTCAGGCCAAGAACGTCTTCCTTTAGGAGTCACAACATTATTTTTGCTTACATCCCACTGGGCGGAACCTGGACATATGGCAACTCCTGGCTAAAAGGGAGACTGGGAAAGACTGTATAGCTCAGTAGCCGTGTGTCAAGCAAAACTAAAAAGAAAAATGCCAACTGGACACTGGAAGTCTTTGTTGCAGGAAGGGAAGAATGGTCTAGGGAAGACTATGGTCAAGGGGAAGGGAGACAGGACAGAACAAAGCCTTTGGAAGGGATTACTAAGCATTTCATTGACATTGTTTCATTTAAACTTCAAATTCCTACAATTAAAAGCTATTACCATTTTCATTTTACAGACGAAGACGTTGAAGCTCAGAGAGGTTAGGCAATTTGGTGAAGGTCACACAGCTGTAATGAAGCTAAGATAGTGACTTAAGTCCACCTGGATCCAGAATTGCTGGGATCTAAAGCTATCTAGAAGGGAAGAGAGGCTATGGGAAAATAATGCCAACACCAGGGCACCAGAGGGAGTGAATGAAGAGAATAGAAAGCAGTTGGGGACCTGGTAGAATATAGCAGATGAATCCAACATCTGATAAAGCTCACCATTTTTCAGTCCAAGAGAATCAAAGTTAAAAATCTGTTTTGGGGGGGCCAGGGATTTAGCTCAGTGGTTCCACCACCTGCCCTGCAAGCGCAAGGACCCGAGTTCGATCCTCAGTACCAAAAAAAAAAAATCTGTTTTGGGACCAAATTATTTCTAGTAGTTGAATCTTAGAATTATGAGAAATCTTTCAAAATGCTCAGATGTGAGGAAGATCTTGACCCTCAGTTTGATCAACAGGATGGTTTTGAATGGTCATCCATGGACATCAGGTCCAACCCCACCCATAGCAGGAGCCCTCCCATGGCATGCCTGAAGGTTGCAAGTTAGCACTCACACACTCTCACTGCTGGGTACCTCCACCCCTCTCCAACCAGGGTCTCTGTCAGGTAACTCTGGGTTCTCTGAAGCCCTTTGGAGTGGTCCAGCACAGGGGGAGATGGACTGCCCACAGGTGCAGAGCTTGGATGAGACCCAAGTATTTCCTCATACACTGAATCCATCCATCCACAGACAAGTTCAGGAGGCCATGCTTCCATCCAGCCAAGGCCAAGGTAGTGTGAATTCCCATGCAGTGTTTCTCTTTGCAGGGCCACAGGAGATGGAGGCTCTGGACTGTCTGAACTCTGGCAGTGTTTCTCACCTCCACGAGTGTTAGGATGTTCATTTCTCCCTTCACCCAGAGCTACAACCTTGAAGAAAAATCACTCTAAAACTTGCAATGGATTTTGCCTATGAATAATTTAGCACAGCTCCTGACTCAGGGGAAGTGTTTGACTTCTGATGCTTCTTAACCTAGAGAAGCAATAGATAGCACCCTGCCTCAGGGCTGCATCTATGTAGATTGGAAGGAATGGAAGGGAGAGAGAGGGGAGGGAAAGAAGACAGAGAAGGAGGGAGTGGCAAGAGGGAAGGAAAGATATGGAATAAATTTCCTCCTTTCATCAGTCTTGGAAGTACCCAAGGACTTTAGCTCACTGCACAACTGGAGAAAGAGCTTGGTCAGGTCGGGGCAGCTGCTCTGAGTGATGGGTCACCCTGCTTCCCAGCATTGCAACTGTTGTGGCACAGCCTGTCCACCAGCGCACAGTGAACTGAAGTAGGGACCAAAAGCAGTGTGAAGAACTCCTCCTGGATCCCCAAGGCCAGAGCCATCCTTCCTGTTATGGCTTGTATCTAGATGTTCCCCCAAAACCTCATGTGCTCATAAGTCGTGCTTTTAGGAGGTGGCTGGGTCATGGGTTTGTGATACTGGGATTAAGGGTGTTGGTACTGGATTAGTCCACTAACTGGTTTAGCATAATTCTGGGTGTGGAGAATGGGAAATCCCACCCTGGGTGTGGGTGGCACCATCCAATAGGCTTGTAGCCTGGATGCAATAAAAGTGCAGAAGGCTTGCTGGGTTTTGCCAGCCATGCCATGGACTGTTTCTCCTCTGCAATGTTCCTCTGCCATGCTACCCTGCCTTGGAGCCATCCAATGGTGGACTGAAACCTCTACAAACTGTGAGCTACAATAAACCTTTTCTCCTTTAACTTGTGGGTGTCATGTATGTTGTCTAGGCAATGAGAAAGTAACAAGATACTCCCACTTTGCCTCAGCATTATTTCAGGACTGGAAGAGACTAAAGGAGATTGATGAGTTGGAGGTGGAAAGTTCCAGACCCAGGTCTGCCTTTCGTGATGGTAGGACCTTAGGGAGGTCACCCCTGTGTGATGTGAGTGAGGTGAGGATGGGATAACAGGATTGGACCAGAGACCTTGCATCATCCCATCCCATCGCAGACCAGGTAAAAGCAAACTGTTTATTACTGAAGCTTTTCCGTCCTGATGGACCAGGCTGCCCCAGATGAGGGATGCTTTAATACAGATTGGAGGCTTACCTAAGTAGGCTGTTTCTTTTCTGCTGAATTCCACACCTCCTTAGCACTCCCATCATAAGGAAGGAGAGTGCAAGGAGGTACATGCCAAAGAAAAATAAGCACGACTTCTGCCTGACACCCAGGCACCCCAAGTCCAAGGCACCCACCTCATGATCACACAGTCAGGGGAGTCCCAGGACAGGGACTCTGAAGAGCTGAGGAGGTAACCCCCACCCCAGCCCACATGGCCCTAGAGTGTCACCTCTGACCAGTCACTTAGATCAATTCCTCCTAGCATCCTTCTTCTACTTAAGGATGGGGGAAGAGGTGAGCAGGACTAGGAGTGAATGGGATTTCAAGGTTCTCACGGGACCAGCACTCTCTGGCCTTTGCATCCTCATCTTTAAAATGGAAACTGTAAAAGGAATAGCCCTGCTACCTCAAGAGGTGAGGGGCAATACAGACTATGGAGGTAAACAAATTCATCAATAGGAAGGAGCCTCCCAGTAGCATGTTCTGGCTGCTCCAGAATCCTTGAGGTACACACTGTTGAAACAATCTGGCTTTGTCACTTTCCTGTCACTGAGACAGAATAGCCAACACTTACAACCTAAAGGAGAAGAGGTTTATTTCTGTTCATGGTTTTTAGAGGATTCAGTCCCTAGTCGCTGGCTCCAAGGCCAAAAGGGCATGGTGGAAGGGTGTGGCAGAGGACAGCTGTTCATCCTATGGCAGCCAGAGAAAGACAGGGAGAAGGGAGGAGCCCCAGAGGGAGATGTGACCTCTGTTAC